TGTGTGTGTGTGTGTGTGTGTGTGTGTGTGTGTAATTATAAATATTACACAAAAAAGTGTGATGTAGACAGTTTATAAAACATTTTATGATCTCTCTCTCTCTCTTATTAATATTAAATTTTATATTAAATATTTTCAGATATATATTTTATTGCTTTTATTGATTCAAGAAGAAATGGAATTTATTAAATAATCAAAAAAACTTCAATCTATATTCAATTTCGGCTTCTAGTGTCAAAGGGATAAAACTTTAATAGGAAGAAATAGTACGGTTATCTACGTATATATGTTCATAGTAACATAGATGTCATTCGTAAATGGAAACATACGATGCACTTTTTTATATCCGCGAATCTACGCTTTATCGATCTAATGAAACTTGGGCTATAAATATGTATCCCATCGCGAGAGATATTTTATGCTTTACAAAAATGAAACACATATCAAGGAAGTTGTTGGTATTCCAGTGGTACAACTGCATTTCATTTCAAGGATTATAATGAAACTTCAAACACGTCACTAGCAAATTGATCGAAAAATTTCTCTTTCTCCTCGTTGAAAAATTCTTCTTGATCTTCATGAAAATATTCGATATACGTACGAGAATAAAAGAGTCACGAAGTAGAATGAAACCGCAATGAGAATCAGAAAGTCTAACATCGAATTTTCTCGATCACTTTTGTCCTTCAATCGAAAAGGAGAGAACTTTTCGATTCTTGCTTCGCTTTTGACGAAGTCAACTGCCGGCAACTACGATCTTCTACTCGACGCGGAGGAAGAGTAAAATTGAATTTCGGGATTATTATCTTGTGATTCCATTTTCCAACGTGAGACGAGCGTGGTTACCCTCAGGCGTTCGTTTAAGAGGATCGTCTAGAACCCCGTGGTTGCGTTTTTCCGTCCGCAGTAGCTTCGCTCCAGGGTGATTATATTTCTCCTGAAAATGCTGTGCAAAGATTTCGACAAAAGTGTCTTCAGTTCTACAATCTTGCAATATACAAACGCATGATTTCTCTTACAATTTCTATATTCATTTTAAATTTGTATTTACACTTTATGAAATTTACTAATTACTATTTTAATTTTAAAAATTATTAATTGATAAAAAAAAAAATATATATATATATTTTTTCCAATTATCCTTACGATTATTAGATTTACGTGTGCGAAATGTTTCCCTTATGGTGATAAATATTGTGAATCTTTTTTATTATTGCAGTTTGACTGGCAATTTTCGCTCGTTTTCGTTTTGCGGTCTTTTTATGATATCGTAATTTGCCTTATCGTACTAATTTTCGCTCGTCTCATTTTTTTCTCCTTTTTCACAAGCAATCAAGCTCCTATCTAGTTGATTTTATTTCTCCATTTTACACATATATATGT